AGCTCATCTAGTTACCCTGCTAAACATCAGCCGGCCCCACCCCGCCTTCAAAACAGTCCCACACCGCGAGAAATTAATGGGAGAGGAGAAACTGAAACCCTCGCCACTCCAACTACCTCCTCCAGTGACTTTTGGCTGCTGTTTATTTTCCAAACTGCAACACATTAGTTGCTCAGCTTTGCAAACAGCTGTCAGAGCCCGCAGCAAGCCGCAGGCCGGGGGCCAGCCAGCAGCGCCCAGCATCCTACCCAAGAGCTGATTTCAGACTAAGGCACGGCGCTGATCTGAAGCACTAAAAGGTGATTCTAAGGAGGCTGTGGAACACGGCTGCGTTTGCAGCACCCACCTCCGATCTGGCCTCAGCCAGATTTAGGCACTCGGGGCCCTGCAGGCAGCAGAGCTCTTTCAGGGATCCAGGGGACCCAGGTGAGACTAACAGAGAAATAAAACAGAGAAGGAAAACTACCAACCCCAAAACTGAGGCGTCGGTTATCCGCAGCGATACACCCCAGGTCAGAGGCTCCACAGGTACGTGCTGCAGAGCCACCACAGCAAGGTGCTTTTTTAAAAGGATTTTAAAACAGCAATTGTAAATCTTTGCTTTTGATGATCACACAGTCTAGCTTGAAAACTTCCCCCACTTCAGCTGAAGCATGTATCTATGCTAGAATCACTGCACTTTCTGCTTCGTGTTTTGCCATGTTTTCTCGGGAAGACATTTTCTGAAAGGGCAGGATAAAGAAACCAGACTCTTATTTAAAAACAAATCCCCCTCCCTGGGGCTTTGGTGGCCTCGGGCAGGCAGCCCCGCTCCCTCTGCGCCCCGCCGCCCGCAGTGACAGCTCCTGGCACGGGGCAGCGGAGTCCTGCTGACTCACCGAGTACAACTCCCGCCCAGAGCGGTTTTTCCATAAAAATAAACCCAGCTCTACTAAATAAATGCATTCCCATAGTAAAACCCCGACTGGTGGCTGGGAAGGAAGAGCCTTTGCCCTGCAGCAAAACAATTTCCCTCCTGGCTGGTGAAGGACCACGCTGGAGGGAAGGCAAGTGGGAGAAGGACCACGACGCCCATGGCGGGGGGACAGGGATGGGGACAAGGGCGGGGGGACTCCGGGACGGGCCGTCGCTGCTGCAACGCTCCTCACAGCCTGGGGCTGGGGGACAACGGCACACGCTCACAGGGGGGATTTAGGAACCGGCTCAGCCGCCCACGGAGCAGACCCCCGGGATACTCAAAGCATTCAGAAAGGAGCTGAGAAGCTTTTGTAAACAAGCGCTCAAATATCTCTAGTTTCAGAGCGTTCGTGGGTTTTAGCATCACGCATTGGAAGGCAACCTCTGATCGCACCAGCGCTCGCTGCAGCGACAGGAAAACAAGAAATCCCCCAGACTTGCAGTCCTTAACATCAGTAGTCCCAACACGTCTCCCGCTGAGGTCCACAGGAGTTATTTCCACAAGAACATCAGTTTTCAGCTTAATAAGAGGAAGGTCAAAGGCACCCAAGTCCTTTCCCTGCAGTCTCCCCAAGCGTTTTTGCGGAGGGTGAGGAGCTCCCCCAGCTCCCGCGTGCCCAATGCGAAGCGCCACGTGTGGGGACACTCCCCTCGGGCTCTGCCACGGCTGGAAGGACAGAGGTGGCAGCTCTGAACTCCGCTGCGGCCTGTGGGGAGGAGGCAACCAGCGACGGGGAGTGTGACAGCGTCAGGCACAGAGCCGGCCCGGCCGCTGGCGCCACGGTGGACACAGCTTCGGGGCAACACAACCTCGCAGCTTCCCCGAGCACAGCCCAGAGTTTGGTACCTTGGGACCAGCAGGAAAAAGTGTGTTTTACCCATCAGAGCTGTCACGCTCTGCCTGCTGCGGAGCACCGGGGTCACCGTGCCTGCTGGGGGCAAGAGACACAGCAAAAGGCACCAAACCTCAGAATAAAGCAGAAGGCCCTAATTAATGAGGCATTTCCCCTGCACCGATATCTCCATCAGCCCGTTTTTTTTCAGTGATGCATTTAGCAGAAAATAGGAGTAAGTCAAATTCTGGGCTGGAGTAGTTTTAATTAATTCACTAACCTTTGCTGTTGTCCTGTTAGGGCAGCAGAGGTCCCTGCCTCGAAGGGAAGGAAACACCGAATCCAGGATTCTTTTGTACTTGTCCTCTTAACGTGTTTCTTGTTCAGAAAGAAATCCCTTTTTCTTTCAAGGAGGAAAGCAGGACTTCCTGGCCTCCGCACACCTGGAATCTTAGAGCTCCTCAGCTGCAGGGTTTGAGTTTTGGCGAGCGCTGGCTCCCAGGCTCAGGCAGCTGATCAACTCGTGGGAGGCTGCCCCAAAGCCAACCCCTCCTGAACGGGCCCTCGAACAGGATGGCCCTGGTCCACGGCCAAAAAATTACAGAAAATGGTGAAGAATGCAAGAAAAAACCCCAAAGTCCTGAAGCAGAGCTCATAGATGGGTCTCACATCACTGGCAGAGAATTTGGCGGAGTAGTTGAAGGAGCACAAAGGGCAAGGCACCCTGAGACCTTCCCCACTGCCAATTACCCTAATTGTGGGTCCAGTAATTACAGGGGAGCACCAGAGCCCCCTGCACGGCAGTAACAGACCCCACAGACCGAGGGCAGCGTGCGTAGGCCCAAGGCTTCCCGCAAACCCAGATTACTCCGCTGCCTAAAAACCAGAGGCGGCTTTATAGAGACATTACTTGGGTAGTTCTGCAGAGCAGCAACGACAGAGCTGCCAGGATACCGGCCCCATTCAGACAGGGCTGAGGGACAGACCTGCTGCGGGCAGCCCTCCTCACCCTCCTCATCCTCACCACGGCAAACCAACACCCCCCAGAGCGCTCCGCCACCGAGAGCAAAGCACCCCGGACCTGCCAAAACCCCAGGCACAGACTTGTGTGGGCACACAGGGGCTGACGTGACATCTATACCTACTGTTTAAAAAGAATAAAAGTCAGATGCTTCTTTTCTCGTCGAAAGATTGGGTTAAAGATATTTAAATATTTGGGGTTATACAGAAGAAAATATTTATTTTGTGGTACTGTTCGCCCACCTTAAGGCTCGCTTTTCAACCTTTAGCTCAGCATTGACTGGGAACGTGTGTATTCCTGCGTGTGTAAAAATTACCACATAATCACAGGATTTGAGGAAAAGTACCAAATGCCACAAACGTTGTCAGCGTCACAAGAGCTGCCCTGATAATCACTGTTTCACTTCACAAACTTGTAAAAGCCCCTTAACTGGCGGCAAGCAAATGGTTTTGCTGCCAGTCTGCTCACTTAATTCCTCGGTAACAGCAAGACGCCTCCGCTCCCCAAAGCCCCACATAGCTTTAACGGATTTATTCTGCTGAGCTTCTTTATGACTTCCTTTAAAAACGGAATTACTGGGAAGAGGCAACTCTTGGAATTTGAAAAACTGCAAATTTGGCAAACGATTCCTGTAGGGTCACAGCAAGACTCAGGCTCGCAAACCTTGCTCTATTGTAAGTCACATCATTTTTTTCCCCCCCGTCAAAGGATAAATAAACTAAAAGCATCCTCTGGGGGAATGGTATGAGACCGACTTCCAGAGTTCAACCACCAGTGCGGGCGGGAGATATCGAGGCAACTTTACTCAGTACATAACACACGTCACGCGCAGCCCTGGTTTAGAGGTGTCCTACCTTTTGGATGCTCTATTCTGCCACCACAACTCTGCTGCAGGCGATTTTCTGGCAGCAGGTAGATCCACAGGCAGCAGGCAGGCAGGGACCCGAGTCCCACAGCCCCGCTCCCGCAGGCAGCGCCAGGAGAGGCCGAGGAGGCGCCGGGTGGGTCGGGCGCTCAGGCAGCTCACGGTTTTAGTGGCAGCAGCGGCGAGGAGCGAGGCAGAGCGGGTGGATGGCAGCCAGAGCCTGTCCCCTGTCGCGGGCGCGCCGAGGCGGGCAGCAGCGCCGGCTGCCCGCTGGGTACTTACCTACTTACCCTTCTGCCCCGCAAACTGTGCCGCAGCCCCCCCAAAGCCCAGCCCCTGCCGCCAGCCAACACAACAGCAATGGGTTCCACCACCTTCACCAGCACCTGCCCTGGCACTCATCCATCCCGAGCCCTTCGCCATCCTGCTGATAACCAGGCAAAAATGTCGCTGTCTGCTCCCCCGGGGGCTGGGGGCTTCTACGGTTGAGTGGGAACTGGAAGTGTTTGGGGCCCGTGGGAGGACGGGAGGGGTGGGAAGGAAGGTCTCCCTCAATCGTGAAGGTCGCCGCGTTGCAGCGAGGCCATAAACCGCCGTGGAGGGAGCAGCGTTCCTGCCGGCGACCCGCGGGGACAGGCAGGGGCGTGCCGAGGAGCGCTGCGGGGGAAACTGCCTGCGGCTTGCAAGGGCTGCGACGGCGCTTGAAGATCTGAGCAGATCTTCACATGTGCGAGGAGAGGAGGTTCTGTGGGAAAATGCTATCGGGCCCGGCAGAGCCACGGCAGGAAGGAAATTCCCCCAGCAGAGGCGGCCATCGGCGCGAGGGCTCAGCTGTGTCAAGTTCAGGGGACTTCATAAATAACTCAGCCCTCCCCAGGGAGTCATTGCTAAGGTCGCTATTTTTTCCCTTGAACTTTCCAGATGAAGGAAGCAATAGCAGAAGCAATGGCACAGATTTGGCTGGAGATCAACTGTACTGACAGGAGTCATCGAATTTAACTCAGAAGAAAAAAGTCCTTTGTGTTCGCTGGAGTTATCACCAGATGGGTCGAGCAGCCCGAGCGGCAATGCGGAGTTCTGCTCGAAAAGTATTCCACATGTGCAAAATAATTAGAGCTGAAACTCACCACCAGATATAACCCACAGTAACTAATTCCACCACTTAGACTGAGTTAAAAATGCAGGGCACATGCTAGGCACCCATTAAAAATTAAAATGTTAAATTGTATTCTTCAACAAACTGCTGGGATTAAGAGTAAGAAACAGCCGTGATTAAAGATTAAGGACAGAGAGCCTATAAAACACTAATTACCACTGTACTTACAGTGAATTTGGCCTGTTGGGTTTAATTACTTCTAGTTCAAGATCACTTGAGTTCAGGCTGGGCTGGGGAGCGCTGTTGGAGTTGAGGAAGCTGTTTACGTTTGAAGAGATGACGGATTCCAGGCTGGAGTTGATGATGCTGTTCCTGTTCTCCTCTGAAAAAAAAAACATCAAAACCCAAGAACCATCAGCCACCAGACAGAGCTGCCACCGCACACACGAGTCACGAGCGTAGCGCTGGGCGCCGAGCGCTCCTGGTAATAACCCCGGCCCTAACGCAAACGGGGCAGCACCTCACCGCATCTCAGAAGACAGGCAGTCAGCTAACAGAGTTTTGTACATTAAACTACAACAAATACCAGGCACTTCTTTTTTTTTTTAAAAAAAAAAAAGTTGCAGCTCCATTTTAAATTAATACCTTTTTTAGTAAGAAAATATTCATTTTTCTCAAGGCATTAATATTTTATGTTCCTAAAGGCATCCAAAGTACCACACAACCTGAAAAAAATTAAAATGCAAACTACATGCAGGAATGGATTTCTCTGTGACTGAAATCGGGTGCCATGGGACTGAGCATTCGTGTGACAGCAGGATAACGTTTCAGAACAAGAAGAGGACAGATCACCCAACTGACGTTTATCTCGGCAAAAAATGCTTCAGCCTACCACTGGACGTCAACTGCCATCGATCCGTCCTGGCCGGGTCTATAAGGGGACGGGGTCCCCGCTCCACCTCGGCTCAGCTCCTCCGAAATACAGAGCAGCTGTGGGTCAGAAACTTGGCTTTATACCCAGTCTGAAATAGTGCCTCGTGCCCACTCCTGCCCGCTCCTGCCACCGTGCTGCCGGCACCGCGCTGGGCAAACGCCGGCGCTGCTCTGCCACCGGTCTGGGGCTTTCCTGGAGTTTCTTGTTTCCCTCGAGCATACTCTCTTAAGAGACTTCCCCTTATTTGTGTAACTTCAGCAGTGAGGAATGAAAATATTATGCATCCCAAACCGACATCCGCAGCATGGGCTCCCTCCTCAGCTCTACGCCAAATTACCTAAAATCACATTAATTCGTTTTCATAAGATGCCTTTTCCGTATAATCAGTAATTGTAATTGTGAGAAGCAATTATCATCACTGATGGCACGGAAAGCAGAGAATTGTTACTTCTGCGATGGAGTTTTCCTCAAAGATAGGCACCTGGTGGAAAACATAATGAGTCCTACTTCAGTGATAAATCTTTTAAAAAATTGTTTTTCCAGTGCACACTAATATGATCAAATTACTACCAAAAAGCACACAGTGACGGGGAGTCCCTTACTCTCGATCCCTTTAAACTGCACACCTCCGCTTGTGTTAGGAGAATGTGTAGTGCTCATCTGCGTCCCGTACACATTTAAAGAAGGGTAGAACAGTGCCAGAGGAACTCCCGGGGTACAGGAAAAGTCAATCCTGAGCGTACAGCAGACAAAACCCACCTACATTTCTGTCCAATAGCTTGGTAGGGGGTTGTCTCGGGCACAGCGGAGCACGACGTTGTGACAACTCTCTGCCACCGCTTCCAAGAGAAAAGCCTACGCTGGCGACAGGTTTGTGGGTGCCGGGGAAAGAGCAGAGTCTAACGCTCCTTGTCACGCCCCGTTCTCCTGGTACCTGGACAAAATCAGTGCCTACAGGGCAGCAAGAAAGGGCTAAAACTTGGTTTAGCTCAGGTTGAACTTATCTTCCAGAGATTAGCCAAAGCCAAGGATATGTTAGTTGTGCTGATACGCGTCAACACGTTCCTGAAATTGCAATTCGTGAACCTTGATCTCCATGAGCCACCAAGGAACCAGCACCGCACGCACCCCTGTCCCCGGCTGTGTTCCCCCAACCTCCCCAGTCGGGGGTTTTGCCCGGCCACGGTTCCCACTGTCTGATGCGCCAAAAGGAAAATACAAACAATCTCATGAGCTTTGAGCCATACGGTGGCTCAGACAAGAAGCCTGAAACCACGAAAAGCTCACAGCGATTTCCCCAGAGGGACCAATTTAAAGACATTTATTGGGTCGTGCTCTGGGCCCAGCCCCAGCAGCAGGAGGTGGGTTTGTGCCGGCGCTGCGGGCTGTGGGTGTCACAGGGGGGCCAGGCTGTGGGTGTCACAGGGGGTGCAGGCTGTGGGTGTCACAGGGGGGCCCAGACTGACAGAGGGGCACACGCCGGGTCCCGCCGCAGCCCCACGTCCTCTCACACGAAGCTCTGAGCTCCCCCAGAAGGGACTCGGAAGGCATAAGCACTTTATGATGAAAAAGATTATCCACGCAGAACGTGAGAAGAGGCAAAAGTGAGGAAAAGCAGAGGGCTGACCCCACAAATATTGACAGGCAGACGCGGGAGCCAGCAGATGAAATAAGAGCGAAATTAAGCTGCCTACAGACCTCAAAACCCCAAAGGCCAACTCAAATCACTCCTCTATTTTTTGCATCCGCCAGGTGTTGAGCTGTGCTGTGACAGAGCAGCTCCGGAGCGTGCCGCGGTGGCCGAGCCCAGGGGCTGCCCCCGCTGAGCCCCCCCAGCCGGACGGGAGGCTGCGAGGTCTAACACCACGTCTTATTATTTCCAAACATTTTCTGCCCAAGGCTGAAGTCTGAAAATAAGCTCTGTAAGCTTAACAAATCAGTGTCAATTGTCTGCCTAATCTCAGAGCTAGCGACCGGCCAAAACTGAATTAAAGCCCCTATCAGCCAAGAAACTGGAAGTGTTTCATCTAAAGAGGAAGGGAGATGAATGGCAGAATCTGAGACTCTTGCTTGATTTTATTTCCTCCTTTTCAAAAGCCTGATACTGTATTTTGCTTCATGTTTTTAAAAGCTTCTGTGAAGGATTCTTTGCCATGAGATTTAATTCGGTCTTACAGCTACGCGAGCAGAACTGCCCGTCAGCTAAGGCGTGTTTCTTCTCCCTCACGCGGAAGAGCTGGCGGGGGGGGTGTCTCCCCTTCGCTAAACAACAAACTCTCCCGTCGCTGAACTGCTCAGCCAGTCTCAGCCCCCCTCTTCCAGCTCAAGAACCAGCAACACGTCGACCTGAGTTTGAGTTTTCACCACTTAACCCAAAGCCTTGTGAGAAGCTTAATGGAAAATAAGTCAAACAGAGCCACGGGAGCCTCACTGAAGCTTCCCCGGGCTCCCCTCCAGCCCCGGCCGGAGCGCAGCGTGGCTGATAACCTGACCCAGGGCACCTCGGTAACAGCTGTCCACGGGGAGCACAGAAGTGATGACAAAAGCATTCCGAGTAACAAAATACGAGCCAAGGGCCAGAACGCTGTTTATAATGACCAACTGATAAGGGACAAAATGGTGTATTTGCTGTGTTAATGACACTCGTTTCACAATATCCAGTTCCTGGGTCAGTTGTGGGCAGAAATGTGAACGTTTAACAACAAAATAATGACTATCGTCTGCTCTGCTCTCTTGCCTGATCCTGTCTGTTGAACATTGTAATTTTTGCTTTTACACAGCTTTGCATGATGAATTTGAGTGAAAATCTTAGAAAGATACCTGACTTCGATGAACAGATTTCAGGTAATGGAAAATTCACTGTCCTACTTAACTTCTTACCGTTAAATTGCTCTCAGTCTTAAAAAATATGCACTCTGTTAATGCTTTGAATGTGTCCAGCTTCAATTTCCAGCTATACAGATCTTACTATGTCTTTGTTTCACAGATGAACGGCCCCTGCAGCATGCCTTCAGCGTTCCCATTGTGCCTGGGGCTCCTCCCAGCCACCTTTACCTCTTCCAATACCTATTTAAAGCCTGACACATGCAGCAGGGATGGCAAACACTGAGTAAAAGGGTGGTGACTTCCCCTAGACACAGGAGATTACGGACTGTCAGGAGGAAAGGTGAGAAAACATTGCTTCTCGTGGGAATAAATGCACGCAGAAATGAAGAAATGAACTCAGTTCTTCCAGGCAAGGGGAGGACGGTACATGGAGGCTCCAGCAGCCAGGCGACTCTAGAGTCTAACGAGCAACTGCTTAGTTAGCAGCAAATAAATTACTTGGGCTGAATTTTTTCAAAAGCAGCTTCTGATATTTGAGGCTCCACTGACAGCCATGCGAGGCACTATTTCCAGCACACGCTCTGGGGCTGCCACTGCTTCCTTAAACCCACGTGTACGGCCAGGACATCCCCCGAAATGCGAGTGCCTGATAATTAACAGTAACTCAATCAGAGGCAGACAGGCCCACATGTTTTGAGAGTCAGCAAAGCACACAGCAACCACCCCGTCCACCTCGGGGTTTCAAGTCCTGGGGAGACAGGTTAACTCCAGCCCTCCGCTGCTCCCCGCTCCCGGCGCTCCCCCCAGCCCGAGCAAAGCAGGCTGAGCCCCCGAGCACTTGTTCTGCTCCCCAGGTTATTCTCCTGCTTTTTTATCCAACTGGGACAGTTCCCTGTGCAGCCAGCCAGCTCCAGGAGCAGCCTGGGCAAGGCTTGGGAGCGCATGGCCAGGAGGGACGGGAAGAGCCGGGGCTTGGGCTCACGCTGCAACCTGAAGCAACAGCCTGAGCAGACACATTTCTGCCCCCCACCATGAGTAGGGACGGGGCGCTGACTCCTAAATATCTGGAGCATCAATTAGTGACAGAAATGGAAAGATGATCCTCAACATTTTTAAACTGCTGTGGTACATAATCCTCAGAAAAATGCAGAACCTCCTGGCTGGGTTTTCATGTCTTTAAAAGGCAAAGTGCCTGAGGGCACCCAAAAAGGGTCGGAGACGCGGTGGGCGCCCACCCTGGGCACATGCGCTGTGCCATTGCATGGGGGAGCATTCCGGCAGCTGACGGCGGCGAGAAGGGGCTGGAGGAACATGAGAGCGGGGCCCGTCAGGTGGGGAAGGGGCAGCAACACCCTATACCCGGCCAGCGCGGCCTCAGTGCAAGGCCCTGGCTGCGGGCTCGGATGCCAGGCAATCTTCACACTCCCCGTCAACGCGACAGCAGGGAAAACCGAAGCCTGATCTGGTTACGGGAGTCGCCTCTTCCACTGACACCACTAAAATTGCATGGGAATGGCACGGGAATTACAATCCATTCGTTACGATTAGGGCAAAAACTGTGCCAAGCGGGAAAGCCGGGAGCCGCGGCTCGGCACACTCACGCTTCTCGTTGGGCTGCGCCGTGTGGAAGAGCGTCAGCGGTCTCTCGCTGCAGGAGGGAGGCTTCGAGTCCGTGCTCTTCTTGCGAGATAACAGCAGCTGCGAGTTCGATGGCGGAGTCTCTGGCACCGTGTTAAATATCTGTTAAAAATAATAAACAAGTTGTTCTTTGGCATCACCCCGTCGAACAGAACAGCTGCCTACCTGCCCCGGCTGCACCCCTCCGCAGAGCAACGCGTGAGGAAGACAACGCGTTCAGCGAGGCAACATTTTGGGTACGATTTCCCAAATTTCACGTTCCTGCCCCTGCCTCCTTTTCTCTCTTCTTCACCCAGGAAGCATGTGGCAAGGTGGGAAGAACCCCGCTAACCTGGCCCCAGCAGGTGATGGTGCCCTGGGCACCACGAACCGGCGCGTCCCCACGCTCGCTTCCCCGCAGCACGGCCCTCGGTGCCCTTGGGAAAGCCTCCGCCGCTTCCAGCCACAGCTGTCAGAAAACCGAGTAATCACATTCTTCTCGAGGGGCTGGAATTTTAAAACCGCACAAACCCAAAGGGCAGCGGTTTTGTTTGTTGTTGACGTTTGGTTATTTATTGTGTCGTTGCTGGCACCCCAGGCTCAGATGACAGCGGTGCTGCCCTCTCAAGGTCTCCCTTCGCTCGAGTATATTTAACGCCGTCTCCCCGTGTCTTCCCCTGCTCTCCCTGCCCCTGACAGCCCACGGAGCGGCCCTGCCGGGGGTTGCCAACAGGAAAACCATTATTCCAGAGGCAGCTCTCTGCCCGGGGAGCCTTGCAGAAAGCCACCCAATGCCGCCCGCCGGCCAGCGCAGCGCCCGCCAGCACATGATGGCTTTGTCTCGTGGAGCAACAACAAAATCCTCACGCGCACACAGAAACCCTCCATGCTGATTAATACGAATAAACGCTAAAGAGCCAAGAGGTGTTAGCCAAAGGTTTTAATGTCCCATCCCTCCCCAAAAGCGTGAGGAGGTGGAGGGGAAGGGCGGCACTTACAGCCCTCGGAGAGGAACTACGGAACCGGCTCACGGAGTCAAATGCAGAATCCCAGAACCATCCAGGTTGGAAAAGCCCTTGAAGCTCCTCCAGTCCAACCGTGAACCTCACCCTGCCCGTTCCCAACTCCCCCAGATCCCTCAGTGCTAAAAATGCCCCGTGGCTGAGGCTGCTGCTCCTCCTCAGCCCTTCTGTGTGCGGGCACCCGGGTGTGGGGGCCGAGGAGCGGGACGCAGCGGGGTGTCAGGCTGCGAGTCCAGGCCCCGGCCCCCGCTGGGCGAGCGCCCGTGCGTATCGGGACACCCCGCTGCCCGCCCTGCCCGGGGAGCTCCGTCACACACTCCCCCCAGGCTTGTGGCTCCGCGGAGGGAGCAGCAGCCCAAGCCCCGCGTTCTGCAGGCAGCGCCACTCGTCCTCACCCCACGCACCCCAGCCCGCAGCCGTTCCCACCTCCGAGGGGGCTGTTCCATGGGAGTTTGGGGGAAGCAGCTCCCCGGCTTCTCACACAGCTGCTGCAGCCCTCTCCCTGCTCCCCAACAGCCCTCCCTGAACCCCAACAGCCCTCCCCAGCACCTCAAGAAATTACCTCAGCACCCCAAGAACCCTTCCCAGCACCCCAAGAACTCTCCCTGCACCCCAAGAACTGACCCCAGCACCCCAGGAGCCGTCCCCAGCACCCCGGCTGCCCTTCCCAGCGCCGGCGCTCAGGCCAGCTCGCAGGGCTATTCGTAGCACATTGCTTACCGAGCTAAAACATCACACAGCTGCACATGCTTCAGGTGCCCGTCCCGGCTGCCGGGACCTCGCCGTGAGCCCGGCGCTCTGCCAGCTAAGAGCAGCTTCTCTGGGGCAGGATCCTCGTAACGGGGGCCTGAAACTGGTACCGGGGGCACCTCGCCTGACCTGGGCTCCACTGCCTCTGCTTTAACATGCTCCCGCTTTCTAATTGCTTTTCAATAGTAAATTGTACTTGGGAAATGTAATGGAATGTATAAATCAAGCAAGATAAAAGTATTGATTTACAAACTGCATTGTATGCGATGATTTCCCACAGCACACTTGAAAATAAACTTCCGGGTTTTTGCTTCCTTTTTTTTTGGTCTTTAATAAGTGAAGATATATACGTTCTTGAATTATGACCCCAGTGACTGAAACCAGCCTCACTTAGAAGGAGGCCGCATTTTTAAACGCAGCTGGAACGTCGTTACGGAATAACTTTACTCCAAAGCTTCAGCGCTTCACATCTTGCACACGCCAGCTCGCCGCAACCAACTTTGTATTTCCGTTCAAACGCTGGATCAGCCCAAATAAACAGCCCCACCGCAGAGCCTGCCCCGCGCCCTCCCGCGCAGGCTCTGCGCTGGCGGAGGCAGGAGAGGTGCAGGCAGGGCACAGGCAGCCTGCGCCCAGCAGCACACGCACCCATCTCCTCCTCCCGCCGGCTCCGACGTGCTCCAGTCCCAGCCCTTGGGCTTCCAGCCGGCGCTGCGGGCACCGACACAACTGCTCGGGCTCCCGACAGCTGCTGGCTGTGTTATCAACTTCTCTTTTTAAGCCCCAACCTCCTCCCTGAGCGCCCTTCGCCCCTCGAGCAGCGAGCTCCCCCGGGGAAGGGGCAGGACGGGCAGTCGGGGCTCCTGACGCCGCAGAAGCATCGGCCTTTCTCCACGACGCTCCGCAACCACCATCCTCCTCGGCGTCCCCACCCGCCCCGGCATCCCCGCGGAGCCGAGGGGAGCGGAGGCGATGTGCAGGAGGGGGCAGCGCTATTAAAAGCTGCTCTCTCTACCACCTCGGAGCGGCACAAAGCACACGGGCTAAATTTATCCGCTCGCAGTGGAGAAAAGTCAATTAGAAGCTACGTTTAAAAAAGCACAGCGCTGATTTTGAAGGTCTAAGGAGAGACCCCCAACAACCTGCTCCCTTTGCCATTACGGTGCACGGGAAAACGGCACAGATCTCTTCCGCAGCAAAGGAAACCAGCTCTGCCGGACCAAAACCTCCCGCCCCATCTCCCTCAGCTCCAAAACCCCCAATCTTCTTCACAGGAAAGTTTCTCAGGTTTGTTTCTTTTTTTTTTTTTAAATTTAACAAGAACAGCCGAGACATGCTCCTCGCTGCTCAAACCTGTGTTATAGCTCTCCCAGTCACAGAGTCCAATTAACAGGGAGAGAGAGACAGTTTAATAGGCAGAGTAGGAGAGGAGCAGCCAGGATTCATAAATCACATTTACAGCTGGATCGTGCGCGCTCGGCCTGATGCAAGCAGCGATTTCGCGGCCCCACACCACCTTCTCCTCTGTCTGCAGAACGGCAAAGACGCGGCAGCACCTCGCCTCAGACGGTAGTTAAAAGGGGGTTTTTTTGATACCCCTCCCACCTCTGAATGAAACACACCTGGGTGCTGCGACACCCTTTATCCTGCACCTCTCCCAGAGCGACCGGCCCGTGGAGCTGGAGACGCTGGCGGGGCCAGGGCTGGTGACCCCTCTGTCAGAGCCCTCCCCGCCAGCATGCTCCTGCTCGGCGTTGATTACCCCGTTATGCCCGTTTTATGATGAGGAAGGTGAAAACCAGAGGGTTTGGGTACCCAGGAGGGTCTGGGGTAACAGCAGAGAAGGGCCCAGCCCTGGCCTCTGCTCCAGCCCACACACAAACCTGCACCGGGACTCGCGTGGGGAACCTGCAGAATGAGAAGCTGCTGTGACGTTCGAAATGTCTTCTACAAGGACCAGCTAAAACTGCCAACAGCATCACTAAACATTTCAGCTAATCACAGAAAAGAATAAAATGAAGACGAGGTGCTGAAGGGCTCTGACTTTAGTGTTAGTCCTTACCATGTACTGAGGTTAGCGTTTGGGTCTGTGTAATTCCCCGCATGAACTAGTGTCCTATTTGTCATCAATACTGGCTGCATTAACATTTCACCTGGCCAATCTCTTGTCTGGAGGGAACATCATCAAGACAGTAAATCAATCTCTTAATTTTGTAACACTTCAGAACAATGGCCTTTTCAAGAGAGCTATAAAAGTTTAAGCTTTGGAAAAGAAAATGGATGGACATCTGCAATTGTCCAATGGAATAACATTTCAATATCACTTTTGGCTAACATTTCATTTTTAGATCAGAAATACGGTGTTAAATGCCAGTCACTTGAGTAACCAGGCACAGGATACACTCCTGGTTTGCCTGTCATGGCAACATCTCCAGAGCCATAGGAGAAAAATCATTTGATCCATTTAATTATATCCATTTAATATATCATCAGGATACGTTTTATAACACACTACCTTAATGCACTGTGTTCACAACCGTACACAGAAAATGCTGAGAATCACTAATGGATGTATCTTATTAAGTACCAATTTGACATTTTGTTGGGTAGCGTTGGGCAGAGCGCTGGGCACCTCGCTCCTGCTCGGCTTTTCCAGGGTTCCTGCGTGCTGTGGTACCTGGCGGGCGAACGGAGCCGTTGTCCCCTCCTCCCCCAGCCCCAGTGCTACTCTCATCCCACCGTTGTCCCACGCTTCCAGAAGATCTGGTGCCAGTGCAACCCGTGGGACATCACCCGCAGAGCAGCAGCTCCCAGTGACAACTCTAACCATAAGGACACGTATCAGAATCTTGTGTCAGCACTGGGGTGCCCAGCAGGGACAGGGACGGGATCTGAGCCCTGGGCTCGGCACTGGGGAGGCCGCCCCTCGATTCCTGGGTTCAGTTCTGGGCCCCTCACCCCAAAAAGGCCATTGAGTGACTCGAGCGTGGCCAGAGAAGGGCAACAGAGCTGGGGCAGGGTCTGGAGCACAGGTCTGCTGGGGAGCGGCTGGGGGAACTGGGGGGGTTCAGTCTGGAGAAGAGGAGGCTGAGGGGAGACCTCCTGGCCCTCGGCAACTCCCTGCCAGGAGGGGGCAGAGAGGGGGGATGAGTCTCTGGAGCCAAGGCCCCAGCGCCAGGCCCCGAGGGAATGGCCTCAAGCTGCCCAGGGCAGGGTCAGGCTGGCTCTGAGGAAGGATTTCTGTGCAGAAGGGGCTGTTGGGCGTTGGAATGGGCTGCCCAGGGCAGGGGGGAGTCCCCGGGATCCCTGGAGGGGTTGAAGAGTCGGGCTGAGCCAGCGCTGAGGGATCTGGGGGAGTTGGGAACGGTCAGGGTGGGGGTCATGGTGGGGCTGGAGGAGCCTCAAGGGCTTTTCCAGTCAAGATGGTTCTGGGATTCTGTGACATACACAAGGGCTGAGATACCTTGATGTGCAGAGACCTCAAGGAGAACATGTCTGAGAAGCTCTAAAAACCATCTCAGAGTTTACTGCTGTTACTGCGAGTAAAACAAACAATTTGGATCCGAGACCTGGAAACCTGTTAAATCTCCAGAAACAATTTCACTTTTTGGATTACACACAGGGTTTAATGGTCTGTGTCGGATGCTCTGGCAGCAGAGAGCAAACCATAATTTACCAGTTGTTCTGGGAACCTTGAGAACGTCCCTGTTTTGCTGACTGTGATTCCAACCTGCACATCGGCAGCACCGGGCGCGCAGGGCACACGTTATCCCCGAGGCCCCGCGTTAGATCGGCCCCGCATCCTCCAGCACCCTTCTCTGATACTTCTATGGCTTCGGGACGAATGTGTTTCCCTGAAGGTAATCTCAGGTGGAAGATGAGCTGAATCTCAGGTGGGGTGATGGCAAACGCAGGCAGGAGAGTGGGGGACACTGAGTACCCCCCCGAAACCCTCTCCCCTGCCCCGGCAGTCAGATAACCCTACTGAAGCCATCATGTAAACAAGCTGCCAGCAGTTATTCAGACCAAGAGATGTCACCATCAAGCTTGCTTTTTTTTTTTTTTTGGTTACACAATGACAACAGTAATTTTGACGGGAGAGGCATTCCACTTACCTGGGGGAAATATAATGTAATAGCAGACAGTTGCTGATTGCCAGGAACCATTCAAATCAATTACATTTTCCCTGTGACTGTACTTAATCATAAACAGTGTCTGTGAGTCACTGGTGTAAAACAATATAAAGCACCAGCAGCACAAGCGCAAGCAACTTGCTTATTGCTAATCACCTATGGCAGCTCTGCGGGGAACCTTCAATGAGCCCAAATCAATTCAAATTAAGAAATACACTGAAACGAAACAGTCCTAAAGCGGGAGCTGAACCGGCACTAACACCACATTTAAGATTTTCCTTTCCTGGAGTTACCTCTTTCCTATCTCCCTCCTTCCCAGCATCTTTTTCCCAAGAGCCCTGGAGAAATGGGGACACGGGTTCGCAGGGGTTTTGCTCACAGCGTCCTTGGGTGAAGAGGGAGCCTCAGACAGCCCCGGCCCCGGGAGCCCCGTAATTCCTGTGAGCCCCGGGAGCCCTGTGAGGGCAGCTCCGCATCCTGCAACATCCGAGCGCCCTGGGCAGCAGGTACACCCACCTGCAGCACTAACTGGTGACGAATGTATGCAACCAACACGAGGATTCACCCTTCTGCTGGTGCCATAAATTACGTCTAAGGAGCGGCAGGACGCCCTGGGGTAGGAGCTGTGATGTGGTTCGTGAGCAGAGACGAGCCCCACAGCCCACCCAGATGTGATCAGTGCAGAAACCTGTCCTCGATTGCCCTGCAGCTGACGGAGGGCTCGGCTGGCACAGCAAGAGACTCAGTTCAGGAGGAAAAAAATCCAGTGTCTAAAGACATGTTTCTCTAGGGGCCCAAGAGGGAAAGGCTCCATAAAGCACAGCAAGGGGAAGGGAGATAAAACCCGCTCACAGCAATGCCGTGACGCTCGTGACGCAGCCGAAGAGCTCAGCACCAGTGGGGAGAGGCAGCGAGCGCTCCCCTGCACGGAACCGGAGGGGACAGACGGACGGACAGGACCACCGAAGGCCAGCACGAGGTTTCGTGCTGGTTCCTCCACGCGGGAGCAGGGCTGGGGGAGATGGGCTTTGCTCACAGCCGCAGGCTCGTCCTTACGCCATCGCTGCCATCACATTCCATGCAGAGGAGAAGAGTCAGCTCCTCTGTCCTAAATAAATATTGTGGCCTTTAAGCACCCATGGAAGCAATCTCTCCGATAACATACAACTGTCTCTCCGTCCCCACCGGTCGCGTGTGTGCTGCCCCTCCGCAGCCCCCCGCAGCCGTGCCCCGGGGCTGCCACCTGTGCCACGTGCCAGAGGCTCAGCCCCAACCTCGACCTGCAACAACCTCCTCCCAGACCTCCACGAGCAAAGCGCCAACGCCACAGCGGCCACCCTGCCCCGGCCGGGGGCAAGCCTGCTTCTTCCTTCACAGCCCGAACGCACAAATTGGTTATTTCTTTCCAACAGAAACAAGACAAACACACAATCGTGATCAGGGAACTGTTTGAATTTAGAAACGGCGTTTTCTTCGCGCGGCCGGTGGCGAGGGACAACCAGCACCACGGCCCCACCGAGCCGCCTCTGCTCCGCTGACAGACAAGAACATCCTTACAGCCAACCAACACAAATGCACCGTAATTCAGGAGATCAACGTTGCGGATGAAGCCACAGTTGAATAAACCCGGCTTTAGTCAGAAAAGCAGGAAGCCAGCCTAAGCGTGCGTCTCACTCTGGTTTCCTTCAGCCCTCATCCCTCCTCAAACTGAGGACAAATTCCCATTAAGCAACAGAAAGGGGAGAAAAGGGGGATTTCTGCGATGAAGACATGGACACGCCGACTCACACAGAGACAACCATAAAAAGCAGCGCTGGTTATGCAACTACAGCCCAAGAACCGCCGGTTTTGGAGCCCCTACGCCCCATCCCGAGTCGTGGCCATCGCTGCGGCAGCGCCTGGGAGGTGCCAGCTGCTGCCCTCGCGCGCACAACCCCGCCGTCTGCGGCGGCCACGGGGAGCAGCGGGGCCCTGGGAGAGGGGGCCGAGACAAATTCGTTGTCAAAAATTAACTGCACAGAAAGAAGCAAGTAAAGCCATTACCTTCTCATGGTTTTCTATTAAAATTTCAATCACGATGTTCTGAAACTTGATGTCCATAATGGCAGCGACTGTTTCCTCTTGAGGTCGAAGCAGCGTTGGCCCAAATACCACACCCAGATTAGCAACAGTCATCAGGTTCTGCTTGTGATTATTTGCAACTCTGGAAGAAAAAAAAAATAAATAAAAGAGTAGGTGACGACTACTCTGCGCGAAAACCCCCTCCCTGCCTCATGGCTGGCACAAAGCTTACTCCCCTGTTTACATTTTTTACACTCCTGGTTAGCTCCTTGACGGCTCAGCCATGTGGAAAAGTACAAATTTAACTGTTGTATTACTAGAGACCTTTCAGCCGCAGTGAATTGACTAATCCCATAAAACCCCAACGCTACGCTGGCCACTGAGTCTCATGTTGCAAACCACTCCCAGGAAAACATCTTGAATGATTAATGCTTAAAAACCCTTCTAAAAACAAACTGTTGGACCTCTGACACACGCTGCTCTCCAACTGAACAAGTGACCTAATATGTTCCAAAATCCCATTCCTTCTCACCCATTTATGCTTTTGCCTGCACCAGAGGTCAGCCCCATCCAGCCCAACCAAAACAGGCTGGGAGGCGAAGACGGGGCTTCACCCCCGGCCCACGTGCACGCACACGTGCCTCCCCGTGCCCCGCTGAGGGATCCGCCCAGCACGGACACCCGCTCTGCCAGGGACCCCCGACGCTCCAGCCTTCCTCGCTCGCACCTCTGGCTATTTTTAAGTTCACAAGTGTTGCAGCCCGGTGGGAGCAGATCGGCTCAGCAAAGCGCAACAGCTCGCGCCAAGGCCCTGGCACCCCGGCTAATGCGCATTTTGGGGGTTTATTTTGGAGACGGTAGAGTCTTGGCCCCTGGTCTTAGTGGTGCAAAGCATCGGCAGCCCAAAGCGGGCACGTCCTCTGCCCCGGCTCAGCCCAGAGAGCTGACGGGCCCCGAGGGCACGGCGCGATGTGGGACGCAGTCCCGAGGTCCCCGGACCCAGGGGACCCACGAGCTCGGCTGCTCCGTGGTAAATGCTGGTGTGAGGCACGGACCAACCTCGCTGGACACCCCGGGCTCGGCAGAGTCACGAGGTGCCACGGAGCGCCAGGCCACGTGCGCCGGTGACGCAAGGAGGACCTGCGGTGGGAGCCCCACAGCCCCGTCTCCGCGACTCTTTCCTGTGGTTTTCTCCTGACCTCTTCAACCAGGAAACTCGATGACTTCAGGCAGCGCAATCACTATTTAGCTTCAGGGGGGTTTAAGTGCCTTTTCCCTTTACTCTTTCTCTCCCGTTTTCCCTGGACAAACGCACTAGGCCAGCACAAAGTAAGGCTGAGATTCAGATCTTGCTTGACTGTCCCAAAAAGTTATTGCCACGAGCTTTTACTATTGATCCCAGAGCCAAGCCACCACAGTGCTCATCTGGGTGCACGCTCAGCTTATTTCAGCACATCGTAAGCTAGTCCTGGCTTAAACAAAAGGATGTTTTCCATCCCTTCTCATCCAAATCTCATTTGATCCAGCAAAGGAACTCTTCATTCCTCATCCCTATATACAGCTCCTCAGGCAGGAGCCCATCACCGAGGGGTGCTCAGGGGCTCAGGACTGTTGGCTTCAGGGCCCCCAGCAGCAGCTTCAGCCCTATGTACTGCCCAGGCAGGAAGTCTGTCACCTCCACCAAGAGCTCTGGTTACAATTTCAAAGGTGTAAAGGCCCTGGTGAAAGTCCCTTGGGAGCTTGTGGGAAGTCCCTCTTACCCGTAACCTCCCCCGCTGGCAGGAAGCTCTGAATATTTTATCACAAGCATCCGAGAAATCTCCCGTGTCAGTAAACTTTGGCGCTGCAGGAGATGGGCTGCCCCAGAGGAAAGCTCCGGTGACAGGGATGATAACCCGAGGAGGAAGGAGCCCTGTGCCGGCAGCGAGGCAACGCTCTGCCCGGCGGGGCTGCTGCCACCCCGCTCACCTCATCGCCTCCCCCGGCCCCAGCCCCAGCCCCGGGGGGGCACAGAGCCTCTCCTCATCCTCCATCCCTGGTGGGCACGGAGCCTCTCCTCATCCTCCAACCCTGGTGGGCACAGAGCCTCTCCTCATCCTCCATCCCTGGTGGGCACAGAGTGGAGAGAAAGGCCAGGGAAGTCCAATAGGAAACAAATCCTTACTTAGGAAAAATCCTGCTTACCTACAGGGAGAAGCCTCCTACCTAGGTAAGGATTCAAACCTTTTCCCCGCTCCAACCCACCTCCTTATCAAGCCATTTGCAAACACTGGTGACACTTTTCCACTGCAACAACATTGGTATTTCAGACACATGTTCACATGCTCCCAGCTGGATTTTGAAAAACGCAGCTGTAATTCAAATAGTTTTGAAAAGTACTAATAAAATAATAATTCTAACAATCTTCCGTGATTAGTAAAACAATGTTCATTTATAAAAAAAACAACCGAACTGATCTAAGTCTTACAAAATTAGGTCCCTGCATTTCTCATTACCGTTACCCTGTAATACATCACTCTAATAAATTGCACTGTCACTGGCTCATTACGGCGAGGCAGCTGTGCACGGTCCTGTTAATTATTTCAGACTAAACTATTAACAGCTCCCCGACCAGGCCACGGTCCTGCGGCACCAGCCGCAGCCCTGGCTCTGCCCTTTGCCCGAGGAATGCCCACACGCCCCGACAGGAGCGCTGGCGCTCGCCTCCATCCCACGGCCGGCACCGGATCCTCTTCACTCTTACTTGTTTGCTCTGAGTTTGTCAAAGCGTGGAAGCCATTTTACAGCTGCACAAGTCTGGCTCCTGTCTGAGATAAACCCAGGTGGCACATGAACTCCTGGGCTGTACCGTGGGTACTTTTCCAGCAGCAGCCTTCACAGTGCTCGGTTGCCAAAGCGGAGCTACAAAACACCGTTCACCTTTCACATCCTTCAAATTCCACATCCATTACCCACACGATAATTTACTATAAATTATACCTCTTCATCGTCCTTTCTACTAGAAAATAATGCCGCAGTTTCTAAAGATGGGGTGTTCTCATCCCAAAGTGTGCTTAATGCTGGTGCTTTTCGGCAGGCATTGTTAGTGCCGTTCCTGAGCTGCCCTTTAGAAGGCTTCCAAATATTCACTGTGTTTTCCTTTTAACCTGCTGTTTCTTTCTGGCCCTCGGTGCACTCTGAAAGCAGCTTCACTAACATTAATTTAGATGGGTCCTTCTGCAGTTCTCTCTCCATCCACACTTTGCAGAAGTCACTTCCAGCACAAGCAGGAGGTGGGAAGCAACAACCACCCGAGACACGCGCAGAGCGACCTCTGAAGCCGTGCCGGGTGCTGGCAGCGTGCGGGGCACCTGCTGACTTGTGGACTCCGGGCTGTTCCTCCCCCTCACAGCACACGACGGCTCCCACAGCTCCGTGGGAGATCAGCCCAGTGGCGTGGGACAGGCTGCAGAGACCCCCAGCGGGGGGAGAGCTGCCCCCCCCACCACCGAGCCACCCTGCAAGGGTGCTGAGGGGAGACCTCCTGGCCCCCTGCAACTCCCTGCCAGGAGCGGGCAGAGAGGGGGGATGAGTCTCTGGAGCCAAGGCCCCAGCGCCAGGCCCCGAGGGAATGGCCTCAAGCTGCCCAGGGCAGGGTCAGGCTGGCTCTGAGGAAGGATTTCTGTGCAGAAGGGGCTGTTGGGCGTTGGAATGGGCTGCCCAGGGCAGGGGGGAGTCCCCGGGATTCCCTGGGGGGGTTGAAGAGTCGGGCTGAGCCAGCGCTGAGGGGTCTGGGGGAGTTGGGAAGAGTCAGGGGGAGGGTCGTGGTTGGGCTGGAGGAGCTGCAAGGGCTTTTCCAACCTGGGTGATTCTGTCCCGTGAGGACCTGACCCACTTGGTGCCAACCCAAGAGGCGTGCTGGCCACGGCGAGCAGCCAGCCAGAGGAGGTGGGGAGCGAGCCCTGCCACCCCGCGGGGACAGCCGGCCAGAGCCAAGGGCAGCGCTGTCCCCCGGGCCGAGCGGGCTGGTCATCACTCCTGGGGGTGTCCAGGGACCCCCCCTCACTTTGCATTCACTTTCAGAAAAACAACGGAGGATGGGAGCAGAGTAAATCCATGTTGTGTGTCAAATTAGATTATGCTTAGGTTGCTTGGATACTGTATAATCACCGGCATGACCAAACATAATTTAATACAGAGTAATTGGCAGTCAAGCTTCAGTGCAGAGAAAGCATACAGGAACAGTAAATATTTCTTTGTTGCACTGGCTTGCAGTCGGCATCGGGCAACAGACCTGCAGCGGAGCCGGGGTGCTGAGGCTGGGGAAGGGCTGGGTGCCCCTCTTTGATTTTACAGACCTTACTGATTTAAGTTTCTCCAGCCTGGTCAACAGCTCATATTTATTTTCATGGAAATCCAATTAACTCATTTGCTTCTCCAGTGACCTACAGAGAAACCTGTACTGTTGTACAGGTGGAGAACACTCAGAGGTAGCCCATGGGAGCTGCCCAGTCCTCCCAGTAACACGGCTGAGAGCTGGCACCAGCTCCGGTGTCACAGCTTAATGCCACGCACAGAAAATGCACCAGCTTGAGACTTCAGGGCTGTGAACCGGCACTGGTGGGGTTGTTGGACTGGGTCATGCCGTGACCTCCACGAGCACACTGCTCTGGCCCGCTTGCCCAGCCGTGCCAGGCACTAGCCACCACACACCTCCACGGCCAGCAGCGGCCTCTCCAGGGGATGCTACCCAGGGCGCCTGGCTCTGCTCCCCACAAAGCTCTTACTCTCTGTGCCTGGAACCGCTTTGTGTATGTATTTTATATATAAAATGAACATACATAAGTCTCAGCCAGAGAGCGTTGTTATGAGTTCAAATATCTTCCCTGATTCAGAGAAAAATCTCCGAGAAAACAAACATCTGAGAGGGAACAAAGGCAAAGTCTGGAGTGTTTCTATTTCCATGCCTGGGACAAACCTTTGAAAACAAAGTGCTTGTTATGGCTGGCCTAACAAGACCTTGCAGGATGGAAAATACTGCAGCTAATTCATACTGCTACAGGTAAAAATATATTTCATGTCTGCCACCACCATTAGAGCTTCTGCTGAACGTGAAAAGCCAACCAGGCAGAGGGCTAGCAATCCCCAAAATTATTTAGGCTG